AGGCACTGTACATGCAGATAATCACTGGGGAAGGCACTGTGTATACAGATAATCACTGGGGAAGGCACTGTGTATACAGATAATCACTGGAGAAGGCACTGTACATGCAGATAATCACTGGGGAAGGCACTGTGTATACAGATAATCACTGGAGAAGACACTGTGTATACAGATAATCACTGGGGAAGGCACTGTACATGCAGATAATCACTGGGGAAGGCACTGTACATGCAGATAATCACTGGGGAAGGCACTGCGTATACAGATAATCACTGGAGAAGGCACTGTACATGCAGATAATCACTGGGGAAGGCACTGTGTATACAGATAATCACTGGAGAAGACACTGTGTATACAGATAATCACTGGGGAAGGCACTGTGTATACAGATAATCACTGGAGAAGGCACTGTGTATACAGATAATCACTGGAGAAGGCACTGTACATGCAGATAATCACTGGAGAAGGCACTGTACATGCAGATAATCACTGGGGAAGGCACTGTGTATACAGATAATCACTGGAGAAGGCACTGTGTATGCAGATAATCACTGGAGAAGGCACTGTACATGCAGATAATCACTGGGGAAGGCACTGTGTATACAGATAATCACTGGGGAAGACACTGTACATGCAGATAATCACTGGAGAAGGCACTGTACATGCAGATAATCACTGAAGAAGGCACTGTGTATACAGATAATCACTGGAGAAGGCACTGTACATGCAGATAATCACTGGAGAAGGCACTGTACATGCAGATAACCACTGGAGAAGCCAGGAAGCTAAACCCACAGTTCACCCACAATGGAATGAGGTGCATCACTGCTCTTCCTGGAATGCCAGAAATGATGCCTGCAACCTGGTGATCCTTTGCTGTCTGATGAGACAGGCTCTGCCCATATCTTCCAAAATTTTTCTTCTTACTTATCCCAGACCCTTTCCCCCTAAATTGTGAGTGATGTTTTTAGACCATAACCCCCCCTCTTTTTATGAAATATATTTTTGCCGTCTTTTAGCATGAATGCTTTTATTTTTAAATGATTTACTTATTTATTATATATACAGTGTTCTGGCTGCATGTATGCCAGAAGAAGGCACCAGAATTCATTACAGATGGTTGTGAGCACCATGTAATTGCTGGGAATTGAACTCATGACCTCTGGAAGAACAGTCAGAGCTCTTAGCCTCTGAGCCATCTTTCCAGCTCTATAAATCCCCCTCTTATGAGTGATATCACTTGTACTTTACAACACCCTAAGTGACTTCTATGTTACCTTAGGGCCAGGCCAATCCTGGTCCTAAGGCATTGTGTTTCCCTCAGTCATTCCTCCTAGACTCTTATCTTGAGCATTGTTTCTTAGTCAACAGGAACCCATCTTATAGATGAAGCCATATGTGCTTTGCAAAGAGCTTCAAAATAAACATGTCTTAAATTGTTGTGCACTTGGGACTGAGTTAATTGTTATCTGAATGCTTTTTCATCCCAAATTATTCTGTAATGTGACTAAAGTAACATTATCTGGGTCAGACTCTAGAAGTCGTTGTCCAGCTCCGGTTACAATAAAATCATGCTGAGCTGGGTTACACTCTTACCTCACCCTGATAGGTTTTTTTTTCTTTATCACCCTGACTGCTGTAAAGCCTGCAGGGGAATCACCACACCTGATGACCTGAGTTCAACTCCCAGGACACAAATGGCAGAAGAAAACAATCAAATTCTACAAGTTGTTTTCTGGGGGTCACAACATGTGCCATTGAACCCGCATGCCCCTGAAGGCTAAGACTGTAGATTGGCAGCAGAGCCTACATTACTTGAGCAAGACCCCAGGTTGGCTGGTTGGGTGACTGGATTTGAGACATAATCAAAATCTGTCATTGTCTGGCAGTTTCCACATTTTGAATTCTAAGCAGTGAGTTTGGATACACAGTTGTCACACCTTTGCTGACATTCCAGACATCTGTGCTGAAGTTCTAAAGCCCTTCCCCTTGTCTAGCTGAGCTGAAGATGGTCTCGGGCAGTCTTGGAAGCCACATATTAAAGGGAAAGCACCCTGTCCACAAAATGCTGCTGTCCCTGTGAGGGTGGGAAGAGGGTCCACACCCAAGTGCTGTCTTCACTTAATGCTAAGAAAAGTCTTCTCCCTCCCGCCTTGGTCTGCATGCATTTGGGATCTGTTTCTGTCTTGACTTAAGCATCTTGTACAATGACCAGCAGTTGCTTATATTTCTCTAATAGCTTACAAATTGTTTCACTGTGGTTATTGCTCATTGGCTGACTGGACACATGCATCCTCAGTGATCTTACTCCTTTGGGACCCCTTTTGAGGCTGCAAAAATTTCAATGCTATGTACGGTGAGGTCTTGCAAACTTGAGAGCCCGTTGCCAGCCTTCCTGGGAATCATGTGCCAAACTATGGAATTTTCCATTTCCTCATGCTAAGAGACCAGACCATACAGCTCTGTAGGCACAACGAGGGTTAAGAAAGAGAGCATTTATATTTATTTTCAAAATCTAGACTGCCTTGGGAAAGTCATGTCACCACAGCTTAATTCTAACTGGTGTCTTCTGAAGTTTTGGTACAAACATGCACTGATGAACAAATCTGGAAAAAAGTTTCCCTGTCTAAAGTTCAGGCTTATCCAAAAAATGTAGATAGCAATACCTTAGAACACACTTAGTGAACAAATACCCTAATCACAAGAAAAAGAACAACAAGAAGTAAGTTGGAAGATTAGGGGAAAAAAACCAGAAATTAGCATAAAGAAACAATGAGGGGCCACCCAGGGTGTAGATCTTTGGTAGAGCACTTGCCTAGCATACCAGGTCCTGGGTTTGAGTCACAGCACTGCAAAGGAAGGAACGGAAGGGAGGGGGAAAGAGGAAGGAAATGAGGGATGGGCGGACACAGGAAGGGAGAGATGGGGAGGAAGACAGAGAGATGAAGAAGGAAAAGAGGAAAAAAGGAAAAGGCAATGGTAGGAAAAACAGGGGGAGGGGCCCCAGGTGGCGGAGCCTGGAGACATTTCTGTTCCCAGATGGCACTCCTGGCCTGATTCTTTAAAGCTGCTGAGCTAATGAATGTCCCAAGACCTTTCACCCACTTTCCCTGCCATGAACATACCTGGGTGTGCAGTTTAACTACCTGGAATGCAACTTGAAACTAGTCTTGCAGCCTGCTTAACCCAGAGTGAAGTGCTGCCAAGGCCAGTAGAGGCTGAAGCGTGCAGGGGCTGTCCGCCCCAAGGCCAGTGCTGTCTGCCACCAAACAGACCAGAAGCCAGCACCCTGCCAGGGAATCTGTGGGCAGGCATCCAGGCCCTGGGCTGCCACTCCGACCCTGGCAAAGGCCGTTGTGGGCCAGGTGGAATCACACTGACTGTATTAGTGACCCAGATTGGGGCTGGATCAAACTTACCCGATCTAAATTGAGTCCAAGATCAGCCTCTGACGAACTGTAAAATAAAGGTCTGTTTTAGCTGAACCTCTTAGAAATCAAAAAGCCCTCAAGAGCCTTACGAGGTAACTATAATGCTAACACTCCAGTGCCCCGCCCCCAGACATACTGGATAGCTATAAGAAATTTCTAGGTTCTTCCCAAACTACATTATGTGGTTGTTAGCTCTATGAGAGGGAAACATGACATCTCCACAGGCCTCTCTGACCTTGTCCTTAGGTCATTACTACCACAGCTTGTTGGGGTGGGCTGTCTAAGATGAAATGTCTGGGGCTTTGGTTAATAGTCATTAATAATTACTGGCCATTAATAATTACTGCACACCACTATGATTACACAGTGGAGGTAAAATGTAGCACCCAAGCTTGCATATACAAGAAATTGTAACTACAGACTTCAGTCTTAGGACTTATTCCATTCTACCACACAGGTTCTGTGTGTTGTGTTCCAGTTGATTCTAGGAATTTGTAAATTTCTTTTCTGATTCCCTTAGTAACCCATAACATCATTTAATAACATTTTATTTATTCTCTATTAATTTGTGCATGTTCTGTAATTTCTATTACTATTGCCTTCTGGTTTTATTCCTTTCTCATCAGATACAATATCAAAAACTATTTCAATTTATTGGTATTTGTTAAGATTTATTTTATGTCCTCCAAATGTGGTTTATTTTTAAAGAACTCTCTATGGCTTTTGGGAAGAATGTTACACTGCAGAATTCAAAATACCCTGTGATGTCTATCAAGTCCACTTGATCTCTAACTCAGAGGTTTCTCTGTTTTGGGTTTGTTTTTTTGGGGTTTTTTTTTTTTTGGTTGTTGTGTTTTGTTTTTTGTTTGTTTTTCAAGACAGGGTTTCTCTGTAGCTTTGGAGGCTGTCCTGGCCTCCTGAATGCTGAGATTTCAGGCATGTGCCACCACCGCTTGGCTAAAGATTGATTTATTTATTATGTATACAGTGTTCTATCTACATATATGCCTGCAAGCCAGAGGAAGGTACCAGATCTCATTATAGATGATTGTGAGCCACTATGTGGCTGCTGGGAATTGAACTCAGGACCTCTGGAAGAGCAGTCTGAGCCCTTAACCTCTGAGCCATCTCTCCAGCCCCTCTGTTGTATTTTTATGTGGATGACTTGTCTGTTGGTGAAAATGGGGTATCAAAGCCATCTGTTATTATTGAGCCAATGTGATTCCTGGATATAAGAAACCCAAATGGGAGCAATCATTGTAGTTTAGAACCTCTTGTAAATATTGCCAGCATTTTTTAAGAATAGTCTGTCCCCTCCCCAGCTTCCTAATGAATAGAACTTGGGCTCACAGGAAATAGCCCATGGCAAAAAGGAAACATTCCACAATTAGATCACTTAACCCCCTCCCTCTGCGACCCTTTAACCTTGCCAACACCTGTTGCCTGCTTACCTTCAGTGGCCTGGTTACTAGGCAACGACCCCTCCCTCACTTTCCTGCATTCTTCTGCCCCATCCCCCTACCTCATTTCCCCTATTTAAGCCAGTATGAAACTCTCATTAAACGCAGCTCGATCGGTCATGCTGTCCTGCTGCCCATTTCTCTTGTGTTTCTTTTCTCTTTCATTCCAGGTTCCCACGGGCCCAGCCCCGTTGTGCCCTGCCGGTCGGGGCAGACTGATGCCCAATGAGAGGCTCGAAAGCCCTGTGAACCCCAGGAATGCTGCTCCATCCAGGGGGCAGGCCTGCCCACATGCACTGAGCCACCGCCGGAAACACCAGCTGGCAAAAGTCACCACACATTGTGAGACTTGCAGAGGTCGCCACTGCCTCTCTCGTCAGTGAGACAGATCGGCAAAGGTCACCACGGCTCCACACGGCTGTGAGAAGAACCTGCAGTAATCGCCACTGTTTTACCCGACCGGTGAGTCAGATCCGGAGGAATAACGCCGCAACACAGGTAGGCTTATGCCACGGGACAAGCATTTAAGTAAGCAAGATTTGTTCATTAAGGGACTCAAAAGAGTCTCTCAAGACACGAGGAGTAAGGGTTAAAATCAAGGATCTTAAAATATATGCTTAGAGCTATGAGACAGAAAAATTTTGGTCAGATGAGTGTATGTTTACTTCAGTATATTTTAATAGCCAGGAGAGCTGAAATAAAGCATAACTAAGTATAAAAAAAATTAGAGTTGTTTAAAGAATCCCTCCCTCTCGCAGAAGCCTCGCCACAGCTGTATCAGAGCTGCGCCAGGGCTTGGGGAAGGGAAAGGGAAAGTGCGACCGCGCATATGAGAAGGACAGCATAAAATGTCCGCCCCTGAAGCGGTTAGCAGAGACCTCCACCTACTAGGAGCAGCATTGAGTATCAGGACGGAGAGTCTTCACGTCCTTCATTTTAAACTAGAAATACAGAGAGGCAGAAACCTAGTGGTAAAATTCAACATAAGCTAAGAGGCTTAAAAGATTGATTGGAATCACTCTCATGGGAAATAAGAACTTTTCAAGTTTCCTCAGATCAGAAAAATGTTCCTTTGTCTAAGACAGCAGCAAGCATAGATCAGCCTAAGGTGCAAGCGCCCCTCAATTCACAGCCGGCAGCCACAGCAAGTCAGATGTCTCCAGTGAAGGTTAGTGTTTAAAAAAGCAGCAAACAAGCACAAGCACTCGGGAGGCAGAGGCAGGCGGATCTCTGTGAGTTCGAGGCCAGCCTGGTCTACAGAGCAAGTTCCAGGACAGGCTCCAAAACAATACAGAGAAACCCTGTCTTGAAAAAACCAAAAAAAAAAAAAAAAAAGCAGCAAACAAAATATAGAGCCCAAAACTTCCCTGTTTGTTATAAGTCGCTGGCTAAGAAAGGACAATACAAACACATAGATCAGCAATTAACTTTGAGATAGCAGTGTATAAGGAGATTGGCCCAGCTGCCAAGAGAACTCAGAACAAGCTTTCAGCCTCTAGGACACAGACTAGAAGCTTTAGAAAGAGCAGGCAAGGACCTGAGGAGTTATGCAGGCTTCACCAAAATAAGGGGAGATGCAGCTGTTAAACTTGTGACTGAGACAACTAGCTCATAAAAATGATAATACAACGTGCCAGGCCCAAAGGACAAGGCTAGGAAGGTCAAGGCCCAAACCCAGGAAGCTTGCAGCCTTGAGAGCTGCTGCCAGGGCTGACGCCCAGACAAACGTATAGAAAATGCTATTAATACAGCCAGTCAGAAACTGTTCTAAGACCTTATAGAGAAAAAAAGACAACATGGATACATTTGTATTTGTTCAAATTTTGGATGCTCATAATTCAAGAATTGGCTATAGTTATTGTGTTACAAGAAACTTCAATTAAAAAGTTTCATTTCAACTAACTAACTAATTATAACCTAGGCAAAAAGAGGGATGAGAGATGTGTGCTTGTTATGTATGTATGTATATATGGTATGGCCACACAGTGTGTATGAAATATGATTGTGAATGTACAAATGTGAACGACTCGGATTGCCTTAAATATGACTAAAAAGACTTAAATTACTTTGGATATAGTTAAAAAGAGCATCCAGTCAGTCAATGTCTTAACCAGAAAGATGAAAGATTTAAGCCTTCGGAGCCAGTCAATAGAAAACAGCAGAAGCCTACAGCATGGCCTAGGAACCAAAAATCTGTATGGATGATCCTATGGAGTTTAACAGAGGAGAGGATGTAGAGATCCTCCTAAATTTTTATGGTTAAGAAAGAAAATCTAAGAAACAGAAGTTAATACATGATTTGAAAAAAAGTTTTTACAGAGAACTGCCTCTTGGTCAGGCCCCACCCCCAAAGGTGTCAGTGTAGATGCAAATTAGGCCATGTCAGCTAAGGTGCAAATGAGGCCTTGCCAGCTAGTGAGAACTCCACCAGTTAGATTGGAAAAGACTGCTCACAGACTTTGAGTAATTTTCAAAAGTTATTTGGGACATATGCTATATTCTAATAGAAATTAAACCTCAATTTAGAGAATTAAAAAAGATAGTTTACAATCGTTTGAGTGATTTTCAGAAATTGTTGAGAAATAATTCAATGGCTATGTCCTTTTTTAAAACCCTTAAGTGAGATCCTAAAAGAAAATAGTGATGCCAATTCACCTGGACGGTTGACTAAAGAAGGTAACAAGGCCTAGTGTTAGAAAGTATAGTATGGCATCAGCAGCCGTTTTATTAACAATACAAAACCATGGGAAGCTTATGCTGTTTCCCCCAGCCAAAGTGTTACATTCTTATTTTAAAACAGCAGCCTGTATAGAGCAAAAATACCATATGGAGTCTGGGAGAGATTTTGACAGAGAACAAAGTATAAAATTTGTGCCAGGTTTGCGGATTCCCGGAGACTAACCTGGGGAGTCGAACAAGGTCACGGGGTCTGTCAGTTATCCCCTGGGCCAGGGAATCTTTACAACTGGCAGAGGACCTTTGTGACCAACAATTAGCAAGGGAAAGTTAACAGGAATGGTGGACAGTTGGGGCTCTGGCACTCCTGATTTAAGGAGTTAAATCTTCCTTTACCATTAAAAGTTCCCTCTCTATATATAGATTTAGGGCTCAGGTTTTTAAACTTTTATTAATTTTATTTTCTGATGCCTCAATACATGTTATGTATACCAAGAAACAAGTTGATTGATTGTTTCAAAGCAGTGATTCATGAAAAATTGCTTTTGCTCAATTTTCAGGAAGAATTGATAATTCGTTTACAGTTCATAGGTTGTTACAGATTGAGCTAATACATCCTTTTATATTCTCCAAAATAGTTTAAAAAATAGTCCTATAAAAAAAGGGCTGTGATAGTTTTCACTAAGGGTTGTTCTAAAGGAAGAACAGCTTATGGTATAGATGGTAAGAAATATGTGGAGCAAACAACTCTGGTTTCAGCTCAGATAGTCAAGTTATGAGCTGTTAACAGTGGTTTTTCAACTCCTAGTAAATGATTCATTTTAATTGTATACTGACAATCATTATGGTTTTAAAGCTCTTCAAATAATAAAGACAGTTCAGTGCATTGGAACTAACAATGATCAGGTTAAAATATTATTTAAGCAAATTCAAAATGCAATTGCCATGTTTTATGGGTAACATAAGAGCTCATTCAAACCTTCCCAGCCCAAATTGGTCACTTTGTCTCTGGTAAAGATAGCTCTGCAGTCCTATAATTTTCATCATCAAAATAACAAAAGTCTAAGAAAGCAATTTGGTTTAACTAGAGAGACTGCTTGTTAAAATTATCAAACAACGAGGTGTGCCCACAATATTTATCTGTAACTAATTTAGAAATTAACCCTAGAGGCCTACTTCCTAATCATTTATGACAAATGGATGATTACTCATGTTACAGAATTTGACAAGTTAAGATATGTACACATGGCAGTTGATAGGTATTCAGGTTTTTTGATGGCCGCTGCACAAACTAAAAAAGTCACCAAGCATGGGATAAGTCACTGTTTAAAATGTTTTGCTTACATGGGAGTTCCAAAAGTGATAAATAAAAAAAAAAAAGACAAAAGGTCTGGATATTCTAATAAGGCATTCAGCTATTTTGTACTCAATAAAAAAACTGATCACAATAGGTATTCCTTATAATCCTCAAGGAATTGTGGAGCATGCTCATAGCTCCTTAAGAATATAACTTCTTGTGGGAACACCAGACCTTGAGCAGAGACCCACTTCCCCTTCTGCCTGGGAGTAGGCAGCTGTAGACAATGTTTGGTAAAAACATGTTTACTAAAAACGATACAATAAGTTCCTGGAAAAGGCCTTCCCACGGAAACCGCCCTGACCTCGACCTTGTCTAAAGACTAACCGCACCTTCAAAAACCCACACACATCCACCTCTGGTGTCAGAACAGAACCAGCCAGGGTAGAGGAGAGAGCAGAAGCTTCTCTGGTGGGAGCTTTTCTGAGGAGGTTTTCTTGAACCTTTTTTGGAGCCTGTTTAAAGTTTTCTTTACATCATTGAACAAGTCTCTGTGTTGTCAATCCCCGACACCCTCCGCACGTTCTCGGACACAGGCCGCGCAGCAGACGTGACACTTCTAAACTTCTATACATGTGGAAATGGAATGGCTTATTCCATGTTGCCTACAAATTGGACAGGATTATGTGTATTAGCCACCCTTCTCTCAGATGTAGAGTTTATTCCAGGAAGGGAGCCCATAGATTATCTTATTCCTAGACATAAGAGAGCCATCTAATTCATCCCCTTGTTAGAGGGACTTGGAGTATCCGGGGCCTTAGCCACCAGCTCTGCAGGCATGGGAGTAGTCTTTGTCTCCACATGATGCATTAAATCATGCACTCTTCATTTAAAATTTTTTAAATGTGGATGCCAATAAACAATCTGCTACAGACAGATTCTGGCATGATGGAACTCGAGTGACTTTTGCCCGGGTTAGATGGAGACATTCATGCATTAGGCAATGGAAAAGACCCAATTTGGGGCTGAGGGAAAGATTAATGGAACAGAGAAAAACTGGACCCAAAACCATGGAAGCCTAACCAAGCCAGTTCCAGTGAAATATGCTGAACCAGTGTTCCTGACTCTGTACAGCCCCTTCCCCCACCCAGTTTCCAAATTTCCCCAACCCATTCCCACCTCTACAGTGTCACCCTGTCTCCTGATAACGCTTCTCTATACCTAAGCCCTGATGACGTACCTGGTGGGCCTGTCAGGATGGCCTTACCACTGACATTTACTAACCCTCCTAAATTCTGCCCCTATGTTTTACATTTTAGTTAAATTAGTTCCACGCCTTAACTATTATTCTAAAACAAGATGTGCTTTTGGGGCTGGGAGCCGCAGGAGCAGGCACCAGGATTTCATTCCTTGTGCTCTCAAACAAGGAGGAATCTGCACAGCCCTTAAAGAGGAATGCTGCTTCTATACAGATCACAGGAGTGACAATAGACAGTATGGCCCAGGAACAGGAGCTAGGCTGGTTCCAAAATTGGTTCTCAGCCTCACTCTTGCTTACCACCCTATTCCCTTCCATTTTAGGATGCCAGCAGGCTTTTTAATTTTGCTCGCATTTGGCCCTCGGGCCATCAAGAGGTTAACTGACTTTGTCTGCCAACAGATGGACTCCCTGACAGCAAAGCCTACCCAAAGTCACTATCACAGACTTGACCTCGAGGATCCTGGTCATGGTAAGCCTTTAAAAGGTGACACCCCACAATCAAGGGGACCACTTCCCAGGGAGACCTCCTTCTGCTATTGACCGACGTGCACCGCCAAAGGTGCCTACACTGGGCGTCATTGGGGTATAACTGGCTGCAAGAAGGTCAATGTCATAAAAACCCTTCCCTCCACAAAAGGACATCGTGATGGGCCTAAGCAAGTTTGCCTACAAAGGCTGGGTTAGGGTGCTCCAGGATATGTGTCACAATACCACACAGGAAGACCAGGATCCCTGCTCCCACTCGTGGTGAGATAGTGTCAAGAGCTCACCTTCTAACTTGGAAAAAAAAAGGGAGGAATTGTTGGGAGTGGTCATGGTTATTTAGAATCTCTTGTAAATATTGCCAGCATTTTTTAAGAATAGTCTGTCCCCTCCCCAGCTTCCTAATGAATAGAACCTGGGCTCACAGGAAACAGCCCATGGCAAAAAGGAAACATTCCACGATTAGATCACTTAACCCCCTCCCTCTGAGACCCTTTAACCTTGCCAACACCTGTTGCCTGCTTAATTTCAGTGGCCTGGTTACTAGGCAACGACCCCTCCCTTGCTGTCCTGCATTCTTCTGCCCCATCCCCCTACCTCATTTCCCCTATTTAAGCCAGTATGAAACTCTCATTAAACGCAGCTCAATCAGCCATGCTGTCCTGCTGCCCATCTCTCTCATGTTTCTTGTCTCGTTCATTCCAGGTTCCCATGGGCCCAGCCTCGTTGTGCCCTGCTGGTCGGGGCACAAACCCTCTGTTCTTAGAATTGATAAATATTTTCTGTAGGGTAGCAAGATGTAAGACTAAATACAATGGTAGCTTTTCTGTGCCCACAATAGGCACATTGCAAAAGAATTCCATGTGCAATAACTTTATGACCTAGGAATAATCCTAACTGAGGAAGTGGAAGAAATCTACAATGGAAATTTTAAAATTGAAGAAGACAATGGAAGATGGATATTCATGGAGGGGCACATGAGTAAAATTTATATACAAAAGTCCTTGGACAGTCCATCTAACCCCAAGAAAATAAGACAACGCTGAAGGAATCACAATCTCTAATCCCAAAATACACTACTGTACTCTGTAGTGACTACAGAGACATAGTCACAAACACAGACTGTATTGGCAATTGTGCTTCCATGTGGTGTGTGTGTGTGTGTGTGTGTGTGTGTGTGTGTACAATCCTCAGATAAATCAGTGGGATGCAGCCAGTTGAATTTTGACAAAGTTTTCAAAGACATGCACTGAAAAGAAGGACAGCCCTTTGAGATGGTGCTGGGGGAAGTGGGTACCCACATTTAGAAGAGTGAAAGTAGGCAACTATCTCTCATACTGACACAGAAATCCATTCAAAATGGGTCAAAAAGTCTTATTTACTCTAAGACCCGAGGCTCTGATGCTGCTGGGAAATAGAGGGAAAATAATTCAAGATTTATTATGGGCAAAGACTTTCTGCAAGGAGCTCAAATAAGTGCATGACTGATGAAATTGAAAAACTTCTGTGCAACTAAAATGCTTGGAAAAAAAGAGGAGGCCTCTCTGTGGAAAAACGATAAAGGACCTTTGCCAGCTGTCCTGTCAGATGATTAACATCTAGCATGTATAGAGAACCACAAAAACTAAACAATGAAATCCATAGAAGAGCTAATGAAAGTTGAAGTACAAATGGTCAATAAACACGAAACTTTCCCCATTATCTTTAGTTAGCAAGTTGCTGCAAATTCAAGTCACACTGAGATTCTATCCTACCCCAGTCAAAATGGCTTTTGGAAAGAAAACCAGCAGTTGATAAGGATGTGGGGGAGAGAGGTGGTATAAGCTGCTTGTGGGAGTGCTAACTGATCTGGCCACCACGGAAATCAGTTTCCTCAAAAAACTAAAAATACGCCAGGCAGTGGTGGTGCATGCCTTTAATCCCAGCCCTTGGGAGGCAGAGCCAGAGGCCGGCAGATTTCTATGAGCTCAAGACCAGCCATGTCTACAGAGCTACTTCCCAGGGCAGGCTCCAAAGCTACAGAGAAACCCTGCCTCAAAAAACTTAAAAAAAAAAAAAAAGCCTAAAAATAGAGCTACAGTATAGCCCAGCTATGCCATCCGGAGGGCACAGCCAAAGATTACTGTCACTGTAGCACAGAGACACTTGTGCATTGGTGTTTCTCATTGCTCTGTTCACAACAGCAAAGTAATGAAAATCAGCCAGGGTGAGCATTAAAAAGGTAAAGAAAATGATACAAACAAGGAACATAGTTTAATTCAGCCACAAAGAAGAATGAAATTATGCCATCTTGGGAAAAGCTATGCAAGTGGATAGCATCATTACTAAGTGAAATACACAAGACTCAGAAAGAAACACCATGTTTTCTCTACTTTGCGGATCCTCTATTTGACATGAACACATAAAACGATTTTGTAAAGATATGACATGAAAGTAAAAAGGAGACTAGAAGGAAAGAGACCAGTGGGAGGGGCAAAGGGGTCAAAAGAGAGAACGTGGGAAGACTAATATGATCAAGGGACACAATAGCCTGAAAGAAATTGTCTTTATAAAACCCAGCACTGTGTACAAGGAATATACACCAATAAAAAAGAAAAGGAAAAAAATGATGTTAGGATTGAGGAAAAGCAGGGTAAACATTCATTATCTTCAAATGATCATCTTGTTTATACAGACCACAGAGCCAAACCACAGCGGTCTGCCTGTGTCAGCTCTGGCCACTGGTCTCATTCGGCCGGAGACAGGGCTTCAAAGGCCAAGGGAGCTGTTATTCAGGCTCCTTCGGCCCTCCAACCCTTCCTGCTGCTGCATTTCCTCCTCCTCCCAGGACCACTGTCAACTCCTCACAGTCAGATGAGAAAAGAAGCTGGAGAACCGTCGGCTCTGCACTGAAGCATCCCTGAAGGTTGAGCTGGCTTGGTACTTTGGAAGGAAGAAGATTGTAGCATCCCAGCCAGATCAAACTGTTGAGGTGGAGGCGTAGGGACTAGCGTATAGAACCCATATGTCCACGGTCTCTGGATAGGGCGCTCCCGCCCTTCCCTCAGAAGCCAGAGTCTCACCACACCGCTCTTGTTGGTAGTAGGGTCCTGGCGCCTCCAGATTCCCGCCTGTCTGGGAACTGGGACCCCGAAAACTCCGCCCTGACCTTGCTGCCCGAGCCACTGGCACCTCCCCAACCCCAACCCTGCCTGCCCAACCCCCTCCTACGGGGCCACATGTTACCTTCAGTGGCCCACATCCTCTCATTCCTCCCCCTATCCGCCTCTTCCCCCTCCAGGACAAAGATCGAATAACAACTTCCTCCTCCTTACCCCTTCCTTTTTTCTCCTTCCCCCTACCCGCCCACCCTATACCTCCGTGTCCCCCTCTACCTATATGTGACCTAGCCTCCCCAGCGGGAGCCACAGTCCTAACCACCCATTTCATTTCTCAGTTAGCACCAGATATTAAAAAGCAATGAAGAAAGGCTGAGGCGGGTCCCCAAACTCCCATACAGAAATAGGTTTAAAATGGCTTTTTAAGTTTTCAATGCCCGAAAACAAGCAGCGGAGTCCTCCCGAAAGACAAGGTCATGCTCCAAGCCCAAGCCTTAGCGGCTGCCCTGAGGCCACAAGCAGTACTAGGGAAGCCGACCCCCATGAGACTCCATCCTGATGGAGCTCAACCCAAGTCAACTCCACCAGGAGCCCTCAACAAAAGTGGGCAGCATAGGATGGTCGTTTGCTAAGACTTTGCCTGGGCCTTCAGCCGCCAACGAGGTCATGCCTCATCTGCCATCAGCTTGGAGACTGGAAATCAGAATACCCCGGTGCTGGCTCATCCTCTATGCCATGCCACGGAGGTGCAGCCTCACCAACACCGGCAGCTGAGAGTGTGCCAGCCTTAGAGCTGCTCAGCCTGGCAGAGGACTTGGTGACTCTCATTGCCCTGTCCAAGCCTAGGGTAACAGGTAGCAGGTGAATCCATTACACTTTTCTTTTGGACATGGGAGTTACCTATTCTGTTTTGACCTCTCACTTGGGTCCCACAGTTCCCTCTGCAGTTCCTGTCAGGGGCATGGATGGGACCCCCTCCTCCCCGTTTCAGTAAAACCTGGGCCTGCTTTAGCTGAAAAAGCTGTCTCACTTGTGCTCATTGGCTTATGCCTCAGATCTGATAACATTTGATGATTATGGTACCGATAGCTCATTAGTTCATTAAGTTAAGTTAAAATACAGACAGGTGCGCCTCTTTTACAGGCTTCATAAGTCAGGAATTAATTAACAGGCTTCAGAGGTTCAGAGTTTTAAATTTCCTCTGGTTGTCTTCTGAAAGGGTTCATGCCTTTAACCTTTAACACCAAGACGTAAGTCTGATCCAACTGTCTTACAGATACCTGCAACTTCCTGGGAGAAGTTCTTCTATATCAAGAAATCTGGTCTGATAAAAACAGTCTCCAGAGTCCATTTTTACCCCACCCATTTTCGAGAATATCTTGCTGGTTCACTCCTCCTTCCTGGGCCAAGATCAACCCACAGAGGGTCCTCCAGATAATGTCAGCACCTGCACCAAGCTCCTAGGACATCCTTGCTGGTACCACTTCTCCAGGCTCAAGGGGGCACCTCTTCAGGATACTTGGTCTGTTCAGGAACTGGGACCCTCCCATTTTCAAAGATGCCACAAAAAAAAGGGCCTATTTGGTCTTTTTCCTGACACATTAACCTTTGTCAGTATGATTAGAGCCAATGATAGCAATCTATTTTTTTTTCTCCTTGCAACCTGTCCTGTCTACCTCAAGGAATAATTGTCACCTAAGTTTTCCAGCATTGGCAGCTAACCAGATGCTTCTCCACCCACACCTTCGGCTGAGCACGAACCCACAAACTCCTGACTCTCCCCCTCCCCACATCATCCCTTGTCAGCAGAAAGAAGCCAGACATGAACCAGTGTCCATACACCCAAAGAGTCTGGGATGTTATTATGGAAGTCCCACCCAAGCCCCCCTCACTCATCTCCTTCCAAACCCTGCTGCATCTCATAAAACCTGTCAAATGATGACCCCTCCCCCCAGAGATGCTCAAGACCACTCCCACAGGGTATTTAAACTGCATCCCAGAAACTAGACTGGTGGGTTTTCCAGTCTCCCTTTCCTGTCTCCTCTCTGGGGAACTGAAAGGCCATCCAGCTCTGTATCCATTAAACGTGGACTTTTTCTAATTCGATTTGATTTAGTCTGATTTGGATTGCTGCATCGGCAGAGAGGCTAATTGGGGTGTATATACTTTTCACACACTAAGATGTGAAAAGTTAAAAATGAGGGCAGCCTATCATTTCTGGGTCTTGTTCCTCAAAAGGGGGACTGCATAAGAACACTGGACCTTGTGCACAGTTCACATACTATACACATCTGACCTTGCTGATGCCACTCTCCTGCAGGTTGGAATCCATATTAACACAAACTTTATGGGAACACAAAATAAAATTCTATTTTAGGAATATGATTAGCTCATAAGGAAAATACAAAGTCTAGTTGTAAGTAAATATATTCGGGGAACATTTTGCCCTTCCTTGCACCTAAGAGATTTATCTGGCTTGGGAGGAGCCGTGCCTCTGACCTGCAATGATGAGCTCATATCTCATAACTTCCAAATTCCTTTTTTTTTAAGGCTAGAACTTTCCAAGACCTTGTTGTCTATCTTCCTGTTTCTAGAATTAATTAACTGAGGATGACTGTCTAGTTTCGAAGGAGAGAATGCTGGGTATCACCCATGGGAAAGTTCTGTCTCCTGCCTCTGTTTTTACCATACCAGTCCAGTCACATACTTAGGCTGTAGGGCTCAGTGTTCTGCCTGACTGCGAGGGGAAGTGGGCTGGGAAGAAGCTATCCTGCATGCCTGTGAGATGGGAAGGAAGCTCACTCGCTCTGTCACCTGCCCAGCATCGTATTTGCCCTCCGTCTCAGCCCATTGCCACTAGCTTCCTTTGTGAGCAGCAATGACATGACTGTCTCCTGGGACACTTTAAAGGTCCTCTGCTGCTATTCTTAGCCTGTGTAAGGAAAAGAAGAAGCGAAGAGTTGCCTAATGTTTCCAAGAAAAGCTTGCTTCTATCACCTCCCATAAAACTTTTCTGGGGAACATTCAACAAATCCTCCCTTCCTTTATGCCCAGAGACAGTAGAGTGAGGCACAGGCTACATTGCAGAAATGACTGTCGTTGCAGGCCTGGATTTGATCCTCATGTCCCCTGCTCCATCACTCCATGGCAACCATTTAGCACCACTGACTCTCCATCTGCCCATCCAGAAGGGAACATGAAGCAAGCGTCATCAGTGAGAGTCCAGCTAGAAGCAATGGCATGAAGGGCGAGGAATTGGCTGATGCCATTGTGGGGCTAGGAAGACATCAGGAAAGGGCTACTCGAGGACAGAATCTAAGGCCACTGTCACAGCTAGAACTTCTTTTTCTTGATGGAAACCTCAGTTCTACTCTGGAATCAGCCTAGGCGCCCATCCTCAGATGAATGAAGAAAGGTGGAATATGTACAGAATAGCATTTTACTCAACCACAATGAAGAATGAAATTATGTCACTTGAAGTAACTTGGCTAGAACAGGAGATCATCATGTTAAGGAGTCAGTCTGGGGGGGCTGGAGAGATGGCTCAGAGGTTAAGAGCACAGACTGCTCTTCCAGAGGTCCTGAGTTCAATTCCCAGCAACCACGTGATGGCTCACAACCATCCATAATGAGATCTGGTGCCCTCTTCTGGCCTGCAGACATAAATGGAGGCAGAGTGTTATATTCATAATAAATAAATACATCTTTAAAAAAAGCTTTAAATAAAAGAGTCAGTCTGATGAAGACAAATATTGATGTTGGATTTGTAGCACTTAAGTTGGGTGCTCACATGCTCCATGGCTATCTGACACTCAGGGCTTCCATGGGCACTGTACTCAAGTGCACGTGCTCACACACACAGGCACACAAAGTCAAACATGGCGGCTGCTCCTTTAATCCTTGCACTCAGGAGGCAGAAGCAGGTGAATCTCTGTGAGTTCCAGGCCAGCCTGATCCTCATAATGAGTTTCAGGACACACGAGGGAGACCCTATCTCAAAATAATAATGGTAATAATAATTATTATAATAAATAACAATGTTTTAAAATAGAATAGTAAGGAGATAAACATGATCAAAGTACTCTAAGTTCACACATGAAAACATTGCAATGAAGATACTTTGTATAGTTGATATACACTAATGCAAGTTTTTCAGTGTGTGTGAATCTGGAGTATATTCATATGGCATCTGCACACATGTGTGTGCAAATTTGTGAGGGTTCCAGAGGGGACACTGGTGTCCCTCTCTGTCGCTCTCTATTTTTACTCCCTTGAAACAGCCTCTTATACTGAACCTGGAGCCAGGCAAGCCAGCCAGCAAGCCCCAGCCATCTTCTCCTCCACTGTCCCATAATGCTGGTGTTTGCTGCAGAAAAACGAAATCGTGCCCCACTTTTTACGTGAGTGCACAGAACTTAAACTCAGGTCCTCATGCTTGCAGAAGTCTTGTTGCACACTGAGCCATCTCTCCGGCCCCTTACAAGTTCTTAAATGTAAAAGAAAGAAAAGGAGGAAGGGAAGGAGGAAAAGAGGGAGAAAAGGAGCTGGAGTGTTAGCTCAGCATTTAGGAGCACTTTCAGGGGTCCTGGAGTGTTAGCTCAGCATTTAGGAGCACTTTCAGGGGTCCTGGGTTCATTTCCCAAGGCCCACATGGTGGCTCACTCCCACGCATAACTCCAGTCCAGGGGATCAGATTCCTTCCTCTGACCTTCACAAATAGCAGGCATGCATGCCATGCACATACATATGTGCAAGAAAATACTTACACACACAAAAGAAAATAAATCTAAATATTTAAAAAGAGTCAAATGAATATTAACATCTAAACTGAAAACCCTGTTAAGTAATCTATTTGCTAGCTAGCATACACATATGTATTTTTACATAGCTGTAATCAGTAGAAAAAACTTGTTTTCTGCTATTTTTACCCAACTTTATTCAGGCACATCCTTTTTCAGAGAGAGGGGTTCTCTGTGTAGCCCTGGCTGTCCTGAAACTCACTCTGTAGACCAGGTTGGCCTCAAATTCACCTGCCTCTGCCTACAACTCTGTGCTGGGATTAAAGACATGCGCCACCACCGCCCAGCCAGGCACATCATTAAATTGATATTTTCTACATACATATTTGTCACTATCCCCAGTTAATTCTTGTTATTCGTCCAAATTACCATTCTAATAGTTTATACCATGACTCATCCTCTAGCCAGTTCCAACTGTTTTTAATTTACTTTTCATTTATTTATTTGTTATTTTGTTTTTATATGTAAGAGTATTTTGCCTGGCTGGGCGGTGGTGGCACACATCTTTAATCCCAGCACTCGGGAGGCAGAGGCAGGTGGATTTCTGTGAGTTCGAGGCCAGCCTGGTCTACAGAGTGAGTGCCAGGACAGCTTCCAAAGTTACACAGAGAAACCCTGTCTTGGAAAAAAAAAAAACAACTTAAAAAAGAAAAAAAAAGAAAATCCTCCCATAGTCATGCCAGAATAATCATAACTGAGTAACCTGATTCCCTATAGCCTGAGCAGAGAGGCCTAAAAACAATAATTGGATCTTTCCAGCTCCCCAACCTCCAAATGCAAGTGAGCAGCAGATGCAGCATGTCCTGCTTCCTTTATGTTAAGGAGCAGTCAATAGTATGTTTGAAAAGTGTTTATAACTGATAAAAAATTCATTTGACAAATGGGTCCAAGTAAGGAGGTTCTTTTCTCTTCTCTCTCTCTCTCTCTCTCTCTCTCTCTCTCTCTCTCTCTCTCTCTCTCTCTCTCTCTCTCTCTCTCTCTCTCTCTCCTTTTAAGACAGGGTCACCTGAATTAAAGCAACCCTCTTGCCTCAACTTCCCGAGTAGCTGGGACTACAGATACACACCACCATGCCTGGCAAAACTAAGATTGACATCCCATTTTTGCAGCCTCTGGAATGAATCCAGTCCAGACCTCCTGCTCAGTGCTTTTTCCAGTGTCATGGGACACCTGTGTGAGGCAAACTGGCTTCCAGAGGAGCTACAAAGAGGTCTGCTCTGTGCCAGTGGAACAGTCTGGCGATAACATCTGGGCTGTTATCAACAGTTTTCACATAAAACTTCCTATGACCTTCGACTAACCGGATGAGGCCTACTCTGTGCCTAGCTTGTCTGTGTTACTAAGCATCTACTTTCTTAATTGTTCATAAGATCTTTAAAAAAACACATCGTCACAGAAACATCCAGGCCCATGTTCAGCTTGAACTCCACGTAGGCTAACCCTGTAAGCACAGAAAGCAGTCCTCCTAAGGTTTACTCCAGTTTCTGAGATCTGAACCAGGGAAGGGTGGCCTAAGAAGCATCTTCTGTCCAGTGAGTCTGCATCGTGGGCAGACTGAGGCAAAGCAGCACACTGAGGGTCTTGCCGGAAGACCCGGCTCCCAGCTGCTGCTGGGTCCAGCTTCTTGGCAAGTGAAGTGGCTCTAGGACACAGCACTGAGTCTGACTCAGGATGCGTGCTGAGGGCTCTTCTTAGAACGGAGCTGGGGGGGGGGGGTCGGAGTGTGGTGCTCAAGAGCTGAGCCTCCTGGGCCATCAGGATTGACAGTCTCTGATCCCGTCCTTCATACCTTTCAGGACTAACGCCACCTCCCTGCAGCCAAGCCCAGGGTCCACAGCCCTGCGGTTCAAACCCATAGAATTAGAGAGCCATTAACCAAGCTGGGGATTCATCAGACAGAGCCGGAAAGTCTCCCGTGGAGATCACAGGCTCCTGGACCCAAGGGCATGTCTGTGGGTGTGTCCTGTCAGCTTTGTTCTCTGCTGATCCCGAATACTGGCACTTTCAACCCCCTCTCCATCTCCAAATACCAGGAAAGACCCAATCCTCTTCCTCTTCTCTGCTCCCTAGATGACTCATTCTGAGTCTACCAGACACCAGGGTTTCCTTCCGCTTGCTTCAAGTGCCCATTAAACACCCCAGGCTCCCACCAAGCATCACCACTGAGGCTGCTCAGAGCCTGCTGGCGCCAAAGTCCCCTTGTACTGATGGTTTTGTCATTGGAGCTTTTACTATCACTACCCTCCTTCCGGTGGCACACCCCTAGCATGAGACGAGGCAGCAACGGCACAGCATGACAGTGTGCTG